ATCTATCTATCTATCTATCTATCTATCTATCTATCTATCTATCTATCTATCTATCTATCTATCTGTCTGAGGCAGAATCTCTGTATGATGCTCTGGCTGTCCTGGAACTTGCTCTGTAGAATAGGCTGACTTACAGAGCTCTGCCTGCCTCTGCTTCTTGAAATGCTGGTGTTGAAAGGGTACACTACCCACCAGGCTTAACATTTTATGCTTTTAGGTTTATTATTTATTTATTTCTCTCTCTCTCTCTCTCTCTCTCTCTCTCTCTCTCTCTCTGTCTGTCTGTGTGTGTGTGAATGGGTTGTGTGTCCCTGTGGAGGCCAGAAGAAGGCAATGGATTCCTTCGAACTGAGGTTACAGGTTGTTTTATGCTATTTGATACAAGTGATAGGGATTAAACTTGGGTCTTCTTAACCTCTGAGTCATCTCTCCAGCCCCTTTATTATTATTTATATTTGCCCCTACTTTTTCATTGTCTGATATAATAGTGAATAACTTATTTTGTGTATTTTAATGAACAATTAACTTGAACTTTTGGTGAAATAGTAGTTTGGAGATTTCATACAGGAAGATTAACTAATTCTAAACTTCTAGGATAGATTCAAGGTATGTGTTTAGTTACAAAAATGTTCATCACAGAAGAGAATGCAACAGATGACAAGAAAATTGACAAGGAACTGTCAAAGATTTTAAGATTTATACTAATTCGTAGGACAGGAGAAACTGCATCAGAGGAAATCAATTAACATTTGAGTAGTTTTTGTGGGATGACCTAAAATCATTAAAAATTTCCTCTTTTAGACTCTCTAGATAGAGGACAGGGTTATTTTCCTGTTTGAATGCAATAGACATCCTTTTAAAACTCTTTGCTGCTTCTTGGACCAGCTCCAAGGCAAGCTCTAGTTTATATCTGTTGTTTAGCACAAACGCCAGCCCTTGAGTTGCTGACGCAGTCTCAGTGTCAATCATTTGGAGAATTTCATGGAAGTAACTAGAGCTGTATCCTTGGTTATTTTGTTCTCTTATATTTATGACTTCTCTAACCACTTTCATAATGTGAGCTGTTGTGTTCATTATGATGTCTTTCTCAAAACCTTCCACAGAAGGTGCATTTACTTGTGATGTTTGAGAACTAATAACATGTTTAGAATAGTTGATAGAAAATGGTTTCTTTGTGCCACGATATCTAATTTTACTGACAATATTAGGATGCTGTTTAAAATGCTGCAGGAGAATGTTCTCTAGGTCAACATCAATGTCAGGGTCGTCAGCAAATGAGAGTGAGGGAGGCAGAACAATGGAGATGTTCTCTGACCAGATTTTGTTGAACATGTCTCTCAACTCCTTCTCTTGTAACTCAGTGCTCTTGACAAATGTGGCCACTTCTCTGACTTTTTCTTGCAACTTCTGTTCAATTTTTACTTTTTGTACCTTTAAAAGGTCTTGAATTTTCTTTCTGGTCAGTAAATCCTCACATTTTTTGATGGTTTCTACTACAAGTTTATTTTTAAGAGTTCTCAAATCATCTTCAAATTTTCCTTTCCAAGAAGCCAATATATCTCTGTCTTGGTCTTCTTGAAAATACTTTTCAAGTTCTTGCTTAATGGCTTCATGTTTTTCCACAATCTGACTTTCAACTGAACTTCTCAGTATCTCCTGAACTAACTCATTCCAAATCTGTTTGGCTAGCTGATTCTGCAAGTCCAGCACATAGTTTTGTAGCTCCCAGGTCCAACCGTTGTATGTGGTCTCCAGTTTATCCATAGCCACAACTTCCCGGGTGTTCTTAAATCTAAAGATGAAATTCTCATTCATCAAGGCCTTCCATAGATCCTGTATTCGGACTTTAAATTCTGATATCTTCAAAATACTTCCCTTGCATTCTTCCTTGGCAAACTTAAGAATCCTGCTTTTTAGTTCCCGGACATTTTGGCTGTAGCAGGTATTAGGAGGGGCCATTGGGGGATAACCTTCCCACAGATGAGCAAAATAGTGGATGTGGGTTCTGATGTCAAACTTAATGACATCATTGAAACAGTGTACATCTGAGCACTGTTCATATTGAGCCGCAGCGAGTGTGATTCCATCCAATTTCTCTTGCAGTTGCTGTCGTCTTGCCATGCTTTGATTTGTATCTATGGTTTCTTCTGTGTTCTGATGAACAAACAGACAACTTGGGGAGATATTCAGTTGTTTCATCCTGAGAAGGGCATGAATAGCTATTTGCAGAACAGCTTGTATTTCTGATAGGTTTGGCCCCCAAATATTGACTAGAGTTAAGTTTCCAAGTGCAGTGACAAAGGTTGCCAGCTCATTTTCCTTACTCTGCACTTTGTTCATTGGCTGTGGAGCATTTAGTCCTTCTGAGTCCACAACAAGCAAAAAGTCAAAGCCCAGCTCTTCTTTGAATACATCTTCTACCTTCAAAAGCTGCATGTAGGCACCCCGGGTATTCTTCCCTACACTGAGGCTGAACTGCAGCCCAAACATGGCATGCAGCAGCGTGGACTTCCCTGAGCTGTGCAGGCCAAGAACAGAGAGAACAAACACCTTTTTGTCTCCAAGTTTCTCGGAGATCTTGTCAAAAACAGCTGCCACCCACTTCAAGGGCACATAAGAAGCATCCCCATCCATGAGCTCGATAGGAAATCCGGACACCATCAGATCTGCAGCCATTTGGGGAACAGACAGATACAGTGTATTTTTTTGGGAAGAAGTTTCTTCTAGAGATTCATAGATCTGGCCCAATTCTCTCAGAAGGTGCTCAGGTCCCAGGGTAGAATTACGGATTTCTTTGGAAACAACTTCTAGATCAGCCTCCCAACGTCTGAGGGAGCTTGTCTTTGATTGCTTCAGTTTCTCTGTTTGCACCTGAGTCATCAGAAAACTGTGCCTCTGGTGGAGGTTTTCTAAATCTGTCTTGGTTAGTTGCTCTATTAACAGACTCAGCCTTTGTAGGAAGTAGAGCTCAGTGTGAGTTTCTGGGTGTGACTGGAGACTTTGACGGAAGAACTCCATCAGGTCACTAAGGTTAACTACTTTGTGATATTGTTCCCAACGTATATTTTGCTTTTCCTTTTCAAGCTCCTTTTTGTATTGTTCAATGTTCTTGTTCCCCTTTTCTCTAAGTTGGTAGGATTCCTTGTCCTTTTTGCACCATTCATGCCATAGCTGTCCCTGAAGAGGCAGTAGGCTTTCTTTTATCTGAGATAATTTCACTTTTCTTAAGAGATCTATAATACTGTCTGCTTTTTTCCCTGATTCCTGGAAGTGTCTCTGGTCTTCGTCAATAATAAACCCATACTTCCTCGCAATGTCGGCACAGTTATTCAAATTACATGGTGGTGTAAACTCTTTCAGTAACTGTGTTAATGTAACTGTGATTTTATCAGCTAATTCTACCTTGTTTAGATCCTTGATGCCAATTCTCACTTTGTGAGGAGGATACTTCTCATCCAGAATATTTTCTACATTTTCAAACAGACAGATGAGAGGTTTGTGTGAATTCCAAAATTCACGAAGAAGAGGTGTGATCATTTTTGCACTTCCTGAAGTATTTTCTGAAGTTGACAGAAGGAGTACAGTGACTGAAGAGACCTCATGCAAGAACTTAACTTGCTTTTCATGTAATTCAGCATTTCCATGGAGATTGGTGAAGGCAATGCAGTTTTCAAATCTGTCCTCAGCTCTTCCACCTGGACAGAACCAGCAGATTTCCACCATCCCTGCCATTAAGAGACAGTTTTTGTTGCCTTTCCTAAAATTATTGTGAAAAAAATGGTCATGTTTGCCCTTACTCAGGAGTAAATTCAGAATCTGTGATTTAGAAGTCGAGACAAAATCTCCAATTCTTATTAATGATACGATGTGTATAGGCTGTGAGCTAATCAGATGGTTGTCATAATTTTTAATTTTTGTCTCCCAACCTATTTTTTCCACCTCCCTCCAGCTTTTTCTGATTTGTCCAAGAGACCAAAGAGGGAATTCAACTTGGGACTTGCAAGGATTGGGCACCAAAAACGGAAGAGCAAATTGGCAAACAGAAAGTTTGGTTAAAATAAACTGTCTTGTGAAGTCGTCAGCACAGTGGAAAATTGCCATTTGGATGTCTAGTGGGTGAATGCAAGTTGGTACTGAGGCTGAATGTCCTTCCTTAATAGTGAAAAAATCTTCAAATCTTGGCAGTTTTTTTTCTGACTCTATAGTTCCTGCCTGGGGCAGATTAGAAATTGTCTTTCTGTAAACAAGGAATCTTAAATTATAATCCATTACCAATAGCTTCTCCAGAAAACAATATGGTAGCTCCCTCTCAGATCTTGGTTGAATGCCTAGGAAGGATATCTTATTTATCGTAAGAAAATTCACTTTGGTCATCTTCTTGGAATAATAACATTCTAGATTAAGCCTTTGGATCAAGTCATTAAAGTGTTGATTTTTATTTGTTTCTTCTATATTATTGATTGTTTGAGATTTTGTGGGATGAGCCGTAGATCCATTGGGTCTCATTGAAGTAATTAATTTTTGAATCTTCTAGAAGGAAACAGAAATATTGATAATATTTGTTATTACTCTGTAATAAAACTCTTGTTTAAGCTTATGGTGTATGCATGCATGAATATATTACTAGTTATAAAATCTAGCTCATTTGCTGTTAGGCAATGGTTTGACCAAGGAATGAAACAACTCAGAACTCAGCATTAAAGAGCTTAAAAAGAAGAGTTTTAAATGAGCATATGGTTAACCAGACTGCACTGTTATGCAAGTGAAGGCATAATGACAACAAATTCAAATTGCACTTATAACAGAAAAAGTAGTTTTTAGATTTTCCTGTGGAACAAAGGGAAAGAAAGACTTTACTAAACTGATGTAGCAGATAAAAAGAAAAAGTTCATAGGACTAAAGCTGAATCTGAAGAGAAGAGGAACCTATCACATTATAGATATTCATTACATATTTTGTATATTATTATTCTGAAATAATTTGGATTATTATCAGACAGTGTGAGGATTACTAGAAATAAAACAGAAAAACCAAGGCAAACTCATATGAGAGTCATATACATTAAGGTAATCTTGAATAATATATACAGAATAAAAAAAACTGTGATAAGTGAGAAAAATGAATTGAATTTTCTTCAGTAACTTTAAACTGAGATTTGAATTGAGCTTCATCATTGGATCAATAATTTTTAGAGAAAAATGGCTCAGAAAAATTAAGCACTATGTACATAGGCACTCAAATGATCAGAGAGCTACATTTCTTTAGGACTTGGCTCTCTTCCAGATCTGACTCCTTGGAGGCATGTTGACACTAACACAGACTGACTCTGGTACATTGTAGGATGTGGTTTCTCCCAGGCCTCTTAAGATTCTGTACATCTTTATAATCTGGCTATTTCACTTCTTTCAAGGTCAAAAATACTTGGCCCAGAGTTATTTACATACCTTTGGCCATTTATCTTCATCTGATTTTGCTTCATTATCTAGTTTTCTCTTGCTTTCCTTTTTTGTAGATGTTCCCATGGAAGGTCCAGCTTTTAGGGTAAAATAATGTTCATTAATTTCACAACTAAGACAGTATTAAAATACTTACATATAAGTCTCTTTGATACAACCAGCTTAACCCAAATAAATTTAATAGTAATATTTTTTTTCTCAGGTATGACCCAAGAAAATACATGAATGTTTTATTTTATAAGAATTGTTAGGAAGGGCAGTGGTAGTGCATGCCTTTAATCCCAGCACTCAGGAGGCAGAAGAGGTGATCTCTATGAGTTTGAGGCCAGCCTGGCCTACAGAGTGAGTTCCAGGACAGAAAAACCCTGTCTCAAAAATCAAGGCAAACAAACAAACAAACAAAAAAACTCCAAAAAAACCCCCCAAAGAATGGTTAGGAAATATAAGTAATCATCTCATGAGATTAGGGGTGTGGGTCATAAAATGACACAATAATAATAATAATAATAATGGTAATAATAATAAATTAAATAAGATTACCCCAAATTAAAAGCTTCTGCATAGTAGAGGAAATAGCAGTGTAAAAAGGCAACATATGTGAAGAGAGACAATATTTTCAAACTACCTTAGGAGGGGTTAATGTTTAAAATATTTAAGAATCTCCTATAACTTGATAGCAAGAAAAATAAAAGTCTAAAACAATCTTAAAAAAATAGGTAAAAAATTTAATAGACATTTGTCCAAAATAAGTGACCAATGAGTACATAAAATACTCTTGCAAATTAAAACTACAATCAGGAACCACTTCACACCTCGTATAGGATTCCTATAATTAAAAAATGAAAAATAACAGATGATAGAGAAGTGGTAAGAAGTATAAAAATTTGTTCGTAGCTAGAGGGAATTCAAAATTGTTCAGTCACTGTAGAAAAGTTTGATGTTTTCTTAGAAACATATATATATATTTATACATACATATATATGTATGTATATGTCTTTTTTTCTTAAAACAGATTTTTACCTGTCATTATTGGGCAGTGGGAGAATGTGTGCCATGGTACATATATGAAGGTTAGAGAACAACTTTGTGGAGTCAGTTCTCTCCTCCCATCTCTATGTAGATTTTGGGAATTGAGTTTTGATTGTCAGGCTTGCATTGCAAACATATTTACCCACGGAGCCATAACACCAACAAAATTGCATATGTTAGATGTGGTGGTTTGAAAGAAAATGACCCCCCAAAGGGAGTGACACTATTAGGAGGTGTGGCCTTGTTGGAGTAGGTGTTGTCTTGTTGGAGGAAGTGCATTACTGTGGAGGTGGCCTTTGAGGTCTCTTTTCTCAAGCATGCATATATACATACCAATTCCAGTTCCCACTCCCTTCCCTCTGGGTCCCATTCCCTCCACCTACCCTCCCACTCCACTCCCATCCACTTCTCAGAGAGGGTAAGGCACATTGCTTTGGGGGAAGGACCAAGGCCTCCCTACTGTATCTAGGCTGAGCAAGGTATCCATCCAAAGTAAATGAGTTCCCAAAAGCCAATACAAGCAGTAGAGATAAATCCTGGTGCCACTGCCAGCGGCCCTGCAGTTTGCCCCTGCCATACAACTGTTATCCACATTTAGAGGGTCTAGTTTGGACCTATTCTAGTTCCTTCCCTGTCCAGCTGGAGTTGGTGAGCTCCCATTAGCTCAGATAAACTGTTTCAGTGGGTGTTTGACCTCTTTCTTGCAAGTGCTTGTAAGGGCATATAAATAATAGCACTATTCACAATAGGCAAAAGGTAGAATCAACTTAAATATTCATCAGCAGTTGAATGGAGAAATGAAGTGTTAGAAATATATACAAACAATATCAATCAGCTATAAAATAAGGATATCACAGTATGCATGAGGCTCAAAAGCAAAGAGTTACACACACACTACACAGTATATGAACACACAGACATATAGCAATGGTTGTTTCTAGGATCTAGAAAGAATAGAGAGTGAGGAGTAGGGAGAAACTCCTTGTTGAGTATGACTTTTTAGAGTTATAAAAAATTTCTGAAACTAGTCAAAGAAGGTGATTGCACCATAGTGTGAGTGTATTAAATGGCACTGAGTTGTTCCTTTTAAAATAGTTTGCTTTATAGTATATGAATTTCAGTTTATTTTTATTACTATTTTAAATAGATGATGATGATGATGATGTGTCTGTCTTTGCAGTACATAAATTTGGAGGGCAGAGAATAACTTAATGGAGTTAGCTCTTTCCTCTCCCTTTACATGGGTTCCAGGGATTGAGTTTAGGCTGTCAGTTTTGTATGGCAAGTGTTTAGCCCACTGAGATGATTGGCCCTAGATTACTGTTTTAAAAGCACCATGCAATATAGCTCCCTTTATATGTCATGCTGGCAACATCTCTTGAATTATTGGGGTGATTTTGGGGAATGTTTTAAACATATCTAGCAAAGAGAGGGATGTTTAGTTTAAGACTCACACTTTCCCATTTGTGAAATGATCAGGTCTGCCAAATTCCGTTGATTTATGGCTAACAGAACATCATGGGTTACAGTCATGGAGTATTCTTCTCCATAGTGCTGGATCAGTGTATCAGCAAGTAGTGCCACCGTGTTTGCCTTCTGCAGAGTGCCTCGTTTAATGTGGCTGTATTCCTTAGCAAGATCTATATTTTTCAGTTGGTACTTAAACTTTCCCATCTCTTCCTCTGTAAGGTCTTCAAGGATGTTAAGAAGGAATGCTTTCCAAGTGCGTTCCATTTTGAAAAGCCGAATTCTGAGGAAATGATGGACCAGCAGTTACTGACCTGAAATGGAAAGATCACTGTGAGTAATCACAGGAATGATTGAAATTATAACATATTTTGAAGGCAAATCAGAGAAAGAGAGGTAGAGGTGCTTATCAGTTAGTATCATGTTGCTGTGACAAATCCCTGACAGAAACAATCTGAGGGAGGAAACTCAAGGGAATACAGTCTGTCATGGCAAGGGTGTTGTGATGGTTGGAGATGGAGGTGGCAGATCACACTTCACCCCGCTCAGGAAACAGAGGGAATGCTAGGGCATTCTCCTTTTCTATTCTGTCTAGGAGGAAGTCTATGGCATAGTGCTGCACACTTCAGGGTGAGTTCTTCTACTTTAATAATCCTAATGCAGAGTATCTCTCATAGACATAACCGAAGGTTTGTCTCTTTGTATTCCAGATCCTCTGAGGTTGACAATCAACATTAACTGTCACAGTATGAGTTCATATTAGATTGCCTTCCTGAAAAACAAAACAAAACCTCAATGCTCAGAAAATGTGTCCCTATTCTTTACATATATACTAGAAAACCGTGCGCTACCACACCTGGCTGGAGTTGTTTATTATCATGAAATTCCTCTCTGTGAAAGTTAAATTTCTTCTATCATGCACATCATTAGATATTCCTTATGGATTCAAAGTTACTTGTTTTCGTTCCCGACTCCATACTATTTTGTTCTACTTGTAGAATTCTTGAGCGTAGATAATGTCTGTGTGGAATTAAATGGGTCTTACAAAGGTTTGTATTATGCTGAAAAGATGGTCAGTTTCTCAATGTAGTTCTAAACTTTATATTACCATCTTTGTCTCCAATATTGTTGCAAAATGTAGTAAGATCTATATATTTGAATGATAATTTATAATTTTCTTCAATTTAGTTTCTTATCACATCATACTATTTATTCCATCCTTAGCTGCATAGTTTGAGGAACTTACCTGCAAGGATTTATGTAAGTAATGCTTTCTGGTGATAAACTTTGTTCTGTCACTAAAGCTATTTCCTTTCAGTTCCAAGAGCTGCCAAAATATCCTCTGGGGTAGAGTTGAGCTTCACTGTGTAAAATGACCTTACCTGAGCTATTGTGTTCTACCATTGATTGTTCACTATCTCTCCTCTCTTTCCCTTCCTCCCTATGTCCTTCTCTTCCTTCCTCCATTCCTCCCTCTCTTCCTTCCAACAGTCAATGGCTACACTAAAGACTTATATGATGATATTTTGTTTGTGCTCTAGCAAATAAAGCTTACCTGGAGATCAGAGTGTGGAGCTAGCCACTAGTTAGCTATAGAGTCCAGACAGTGGTGGCACACATCTTTAATCCCAGCACTTGAGGGGAGGAAAGAGGAAGTGATATGGCTGGGCAGAGCGAGGAAGTGATAGGTGGGGCAGAGACAGGGTCTCAACCCTTTTTGGCTGAGAAGTTGACTAGGTAAGAGGTGGCTGTGACTTGCTCCTTTATTGCTCAGATCTTTCATGTATTTACCCTGATATCTGACTCAGAGATTTTATTATTAAGAGCAACTAGAATTCCGGCTACATCTTTTGGGGCACGAATTCAGGAAAAGCCACTTGCCTGTTGCTTTGCATTTCCTGGCACAATTTGGAGCTGCACGCAGGGCTCCTGCCTGAGGTACTGCCTTGCCAGCTAGGTATTTCTCTCTTTTTTCCCCCCAAGTCTCTGAGAGAGTTTTGAATTTATTTTTTCTTGAAGCCTCTTTGCAGCAAACTCCACAGACCCTAAATCCCAGAGGCACCTGGGCTCCAAAGACTGCCGTTGTACTTCCTACTCTAGACTGTCTGGCTGCCTCCAAAGGCCACAGCTGGATTCACCTACTATAGACTGTCTGTCTGCTTGGCTCGAAAGTTTGCCACTGGACTCACTTGCTAGACTCGCTGGCTGACTCTGCCTTCAGGCAGCTCCTGCCTCTCGCTTTACCACAGGTGCTTCTGCACAATCCCCTGTGTGTGTGTGTGTGTGTGTGTGTGTGTGTGTGTGTGTGTGTGTTTTGAAAAGCCACTCTCTCTCCCCCATAAGGTTGTGGGCTTTCTCTGAACCCCCTCATCAGGCCCCTGCCATATTAGGTAGCTGCCTTGACACACATTCAGTCTTCCACTGTTGTAACAGCCACCCACTCTCAGCTCACAGCAAGCTAGCAGCTACAGCTGTTCTCAGCCAGGCTGTTCACTGCCTGCATTTTCCGCTCAGACATGCTATGCCTCATATTTCACCATCATTGTTAGAAGATTTGGTGAGACAACTGGAAATTCTAAAAGAGAGGAATTAGTTAAAAGAGAGAGTTTTTCCCATGTTATAAAATGGGAAAAACACTATTACAATGGAGAGAGTTAAGTCTCTGTATGATTATGCAATGCATGGTTTAAATTTGGAACAATTAAATGAAGGGATAATCAACCAGGATTGACATAATATTATCATTTTGATAATCTTTGCCATTGGTTTGATAATTCTTGGTTTATCCTTTAAAACGTTGGTTGATTTGAGTGACAAGATACAGGCCTCAGAAAAACTTACTAAAAGAAACCACAGAGATATTCAGATCCAGATAGAGGAATTTAAAGAACCAATTCCAGTGTCGCATTATCAGGTTAGAGAGGAGCAGCCTAAGATTTTCAAACAACCAACTTTAATTTATTCAGTAATCTTACAGGAACAACTGCCAAATGATAGAGATCCCCCAAGGTTGTACAAGAGCTGAATGGCCTCCTGCGGAAATGTTAGTTTTAAGGAAGCAATAGTCTCATATGGCATGCATTTACCTTTTATGAAGCAGATGTTAAACTTGTGGACAACTTGTAATAGAATTTTCCCTCAAGACTGGAGAGATTTGGTTACAACAATCTTGGAGCCTACTCCTCAATTGCAATGGAGGATCTATGGAAAAAGGAAGCCAAGACCACTGAACAACAAAGTAGAGCTAAAGGTATGAAAATCTCCCAAGATCAGATTCATGGAGAGGGAGAGGGAGAGATTATGCTAATGTACAAAGGCAATCTCTTTATGATGACCACACCCTGACTTTATGCCATGCAGCAGCTTTGAATGCTTGGGACAGAATTGAAGAAGTAAGAAAGAAAACGGAATCATTTACTAAAATTATACAGGGCCCAAAAGAAACCTTCATGGATTCTTACACAGATTGATTTCAGATTCAGAATCTTGATAAATAATAATTGAATCTCTGACTTTGGAAAATGCTAATGCAAAAAGGGTAATTAGGCCACTAAAGGCAAGAGATCAACATTCATGGAGGAATGGATCTGAGATACGGTCAACATTGAATAATCATGATGATGCTTGGATAAGAGAGGTGATTTCCAGAGTTTTGAAGAAAAATCTAAATGTCAAGTGTTTCATTTACAGTAAACAAGGTCACCTAAAAAGGGACTGTAAACAGGGCATTCATAGAAACAATGTTTTTTCTAAGCACATCCAAACAGAATCCTCTCCCTTCTGGATTATGCAGAAGGTGTGGCAAAGACAGGCATTGGACTAATGAATGTAGATCAACAAGTAACAATCAAGGTAATGCTTTGCAATTGGGAAACACCTTGAGGGTCCTCTTGAAGGATACATTCAGTTAAGTTATTTCCTGTCATCATGGAGGAAACTCCTTCCCAGAGCAATTAAAGAACCTAATGCTTAAAACAAGAAACCATACTCCTTTGGATGATAGAAAAACTATAGAAGAAAGAACAAAAAAATTCAGATAGAACAGATATTTTGACAAACTTCTATAAATAAACAAAGACTAAAATTAAAAATATGAATAAATGACATCATTGAAGGTCTTGTAGAGACAGATATGGATGTCACAATAATTAGACCAGAATCTTGGCATTGAAATTGGCCTCTTCAGGAAGTACATGTTCAACTTTTAGGGATTGGAACTTTAACTCAGGTAAAACAGAACTCAAGATGGGTCAAATGTGTAGGGCCAGGAGGACAGAGAGGAAAATTAAAGTCATATGAAGGTAATATAGCAATGAATTTAAGAGGATATGATTTGTTACAGCAATGGAATACTCAGATTAACATTCCTCTGATCTCAAAAGCAAACTGTAAATTAATGTATGTTTCTTGCAAAAATATTAGAAGGTATTATAAAAAAAACAGTAACTGAACATTCAAGTTATACAAGAACAGTGCGCAACAACTGCTGATCTTTTAAAAGGACCAACAGTCCCACCATTAAAATGGTTGACAGAAACCTGTATGGGTTGAGCAATGGCCTTTAAAACAGAGAAACTGCAGACCTTAGAATAGTTGATACAGGAGCAGCTAAATGCTCAGCATATTGAAGAATCAACCAGTCCTTGGAATTCTCCTGTATTTATTATTAAAAAGAAATCTGGAAAATGGAGAATGGTAATAGACCTAAGAGCTGTTTGGAGCCAAATGATATACATTCAGTCAATGGGCTCTCTACACTCTGGAATTTCTTCACCTCCTCTATTACCTAAAAGATAGCCTCTTATAGTTATTGATTTAAAAGATTGTTTCTTTACTACACGTTTACAAGAAAAAGACAGAAAAATTTGCCTTCACAGTGCCTACTCATAATAATTTTCAGCATGTTAAGAGATATCAATTGAAGGTTCTTCCATAAGGAGTGTTAAATAGCCCAACCCTGTGCCAGTATTTTGTACAACAGCTGCTGGAAACAGTACATAAGCATTTTCATCACTCTATCGTTTACCCTTACATAAACTACATCTTCCTAGTGGATTCAAATGTTGATACTTTAGAAGAAATGTTTTTTTCTTTTTTTGATTTTTTTGAGACAGGGTTTCTCTGTAGCTTTGGGCCTGTCCTGGAACTAGGCTGGCCTTGAACTCACAGAGATCCACCCGCCTCTGCCTCCCAAGTTCTGGGATTAAAGGCGTGCGCCACTACCACCCGGCAGAAGAAATATTTGAAGAAGTAAAGAAAATTTTGCCTTATTGGAGGATTGCAGATTGCTTTGAAGAAATACAAAGAGGAGACT